GTGCTTGTTGACAACCCACTCACCCCCTCATCGCACGCTCGCGGACACCCTCGAGTGGTCTACCAACTGGCTACTTGACATGTGTGTATGTCACCGCATTGACGCGTATGATGACACCTCAGACCCCCGTGAGCATGCATGTGTGTGGGCTGCGCTTGCGCTGCTGACACCGCATATATACTGCTGGTGCAGCTTCAGCAACTATATGCTACATGTGGCCTCGCTGCCCCGTCCATATGCAGACTTCGCTGGCCACGTCCTGCTGCTCGTCAGCTTGCTTCTCGACAGCATCGACGGTTTCACGCCAGACCCAGAGCCTAATGCACCCAGCCACACGGACAGGATGCTATACACACCTGCACTGTGCTTCCTATGGCTCAATGAGAATACCCTGCATGATATGTATGTCTGCCCGGGGCATGTGCAGTCACTCACTTGGGTCGTACACCTGATGGTGTCGCAATACCGGCAGGACAGGGTGCCGTTCGCCAGAGCCAACGGGAATGGGTATGTCTGACGACGACTATGATCATGACCACGATCGCAGCAGATATGAGCCGCAACAGCGCACTCGGTCGCCATCTCCTCCGCCTGCGGCCACACCAGCTCCTATTCCCGCTGGGGTCCCCAACAATATCAGCGAGCGGCTAATGACACTCTCGAAGCAACTGGAATCTGCGCTTGAGCTCTCGCGCTCTCTTGAGGCGCAGCATTCAGTCGCACAGTCGACCATTTCCTTATTGGAGTCGAAGGTCGCCTCGCTGGAGAGTCTTGTGCATGACACTCGCTCACAGGTTCAGGTGCAGACAGAAGCAACCGAGCAACTAGCTGAGGCCATGCGCTCGGAACAACCCCCAGACTCAGCAGCACAGGAGGCCGAGCAGAGGACGCGGGAGTTGTTGAAACGCGCTGACCCGCGCAGTCAGGAACGAGCTCACAAGCTCGGGCGCGCGAGTAGCCGGGGGCCGGAGGCCCCTATCGTAGTATATAACGACCCCGCGCAATGTACGTACCGCACGCAATTGTCCCTTATGGGCATCACTACGCCCGTGGACAAATGCGCCCCGCATCGTTCGCACCGGTTGTTCCAACAGGAGTCGCTGACAGAAATGGTGAACGAGTGGAAAAAGAACGTTGAAGGCCGATGGAGCAATGTGCAGGAAGAGTGGACCGAGGAGCGGGAGCGCCTGCACCGCGTGAAAGACAAGTGGGAGACGCGCATCCGGGTTGTCGAGGATGGTGTCGGCAGCAACGTTTCGAAGGTCGAGTCGATGCTCGGGACTTTGGCTGCGCTGCCTGCGCAACAACATTCTTTTCTGAACAGAAACAGAAAGCTCACCCATAGTGGCGGCCTCGTTACGCCCCCTAGCCCGCGCAGCCTGTCAGCGGAGTCGACGCGCCCACGACAGAGGCGAAAACGCAGCAGCTCATCAAGAGGCCGCTTGCGGTCACGGTCTGCCTCCATGGCTGCTAGCATGAAGGTAGGCTTGTCTGCATCATCGATTTCTGGCAACGCCACTGAATCTCACCCACTCACGCGGTGGCGCTTGCCTTGGACCGCTGATGACTCGAGCATCAGCGACACGGAATCGCATGCGGCCAGTGATAGGGCGACAGCTGCAGGCGAGGATGAGCCGACAAGGAATCTCAAGGGTATGCCGTTCCCAATCACCCCGGAGTCCTCAGTTCTGAACCATCCACTTTCGTCCTCGGAAGATGCGTCTGGGACAGCAACCGACTTGCAGACGCGGCCGCCGCCAAAAGATCTGGCACGTTGTCCTGTTTACTTATCTTCTGTTTCGCTGAGTTGACACAACCTTTGTCAGCCACATTTCAATCTATCGGCAACCGTAGGTCTGCTCGTTCTCAGCGTGGTCACCGGGGTGGTATTATGGCAGATAAAACCTGAATGTTCGGTTTCGGTATTGTATACATCACTTCTAGTAGCTGCTCTGGTGAGCGGCGTTATCGTATCGTATGATCAAGACTTGTCTCCTGTTTGATTCCTGCTTCACAATCTTGCTACCTCTTTGTCTGGATTCCGTCACATCATTTTCGAACTGCAGAGCCGCTTGTTATGCCTTTCTTGTGCATGTATATTCATGAGCATGTAAGCCGCCTCTTTCGTACTTTATTAATAATGACCCTCATGATCACATTCTCTAATGCAAGTTATCTTGTGCTGGCACGTTGTCTGATCAAATATGTTCTAACACACACTGTTCAGTTCAGTTTAGGTTTGGGATCTTCATGCTCTGAAACTAAATCTGAATCTGGACTAAATCTGCCAAATGGGTCCAGTTCGAGTTTGAGTCCAGGTTGAAAGCGCTATTTTACATGGTTTTGGGTTTAATGCAGATCCAAACTGGATTTAATGAGTGTTTTTTGGATTCCCTTGTATAGTTTATACTTCAAACTAAGCACTTCAAGTTTGAATCATTTGCTTTGTCAGCAATTTAAACTGAGTTTAAATATGATTACATCAGCCAAAAAGCGGAATCTGAGTTTGAATTGCTTCTTGTCTCTTAACCACCACCATCTATTCACCAAAGTCAAAATTTTTATCACCAAACACATTACTTGGGTTTGTAAATGCATGTTTTACTGAACTATCTTGCCTTGCTAACTTTTGATTAGTCTTAATGCCTGCAGATCGCCAGTTCGTATTACACCTAAGTAACCAACACATTCTTATCACTTTCATCATTGTTAGATATCATTGTGAAGCCCTGTCATGCGAGGAGTCATTTGCCTCTATCAGACTTCAGAAAATTCACATGAATGATGTTCATTGTGATTATGTTCAAACTGAACATGACGGTATGCCATCTTCCTATTATATCTTTCAATTGCTCATCACCATTTAGGCACTCCTTGCGAGTTACCATGTGATCTACAATCTCAATTAATCCATTGTCCTAGTGGTGATTTCTCAACATGTTCTGCCACTGAAATGATAGATCATGCAGAAATGGCTCATGCCTCTCAATTATCACACTCACCTCCTACACCCATGTCCCACTCACAGGTGGCCCGTATTGATACTTCTGTGCTTACTATTATTGTAAGTCCTTTTTTAAATTGATTTATTAATACATTCTCATCAATGTGATAGGATCCTGAAGACCATATGATACTGGATGGTCCTGAACTTCCTATTACTTCTACTAATCCTGTTTCAGATCACACTGGTGATATGATTATTGATTCCTATATAAGTCATAATGCTCAAATTCTAGCTGAAGTCACAGGTACCTTTGTTTTTTATATTCTTGCCAATGATATTAATTATATCATATAGCACAATCCTCAAAGCATGCTCTAGATCCTGCAACCTCATACCTCCTTCATAATGAGTTTTTAAACTCGGTTGACTGTGCCTATCACCTTCATTATAAGGTCATTCTATGTCTCGGTTGTAAAACTGCTTGGTCCCCAGAAGCACTACAAGGCCACCTCATAACTCATCGTCTAATTCTTCCTGCCAATTTCCCAACACTGCTCTCAACCTTCCTGCTTGCTCATTCAGTTACCCCGCCAACTTCTGTCCCATTACCTAAATTTGGAGAACCTCCTGTTGAAGGTTTGGCCATTTTTGATGGCTTTGAGTGTTTTGATTGCTGCTATGCAGCCATTCAGCAAAAGTCAATGCGCAATCATTACAAAGTGGACCATCCTACTGAAGCACGAACTCATGGAGAAAAGAAGTGGACCAAAGTCAAAGTTCAAACCTTCTTCAATCCTGTACCTCGCCGATACTTTACAGTCAATCCTTCGCTCCTCAATGTGGCTTCTGACACTGCTTATTCGGTTTTCATCCGTGACGTTCTACCAACCATCGAACCTGTCTTTCAACCTGTGCCACAAAATCCTCACCATCTCACACCACTTGTTCAAATGACTGGTTGGGCTGACTATCTTGACGAGTTGGACTTGTTAAAGTCTCGTCGTGCCATCCGCGATCTGGTATCATTCACTCAACTTCCTACTGCCAAAGAACCTGTGCTTCAAGAACTCGAAAATTGGGTGTGGCACTACATCACATGGATTCATGACAGCTATGTTACCAAGGCCCCATATTTGGTTCGACGTATGATTCTTCATTGTCCAATGTAAGTGTAATATTGTATGTTTTCACTTCAAGTATCTAACACCCTGTTATGTTGATATAGTGATGAATCCAATGGGGAAGCATTCCGACCTCTCCCCAAGCATCAATGTGATCGTGGTGGTACCCTTTACCGCTATAGTCAAATGATGACTCGCTTTCTGGCAACAATCATGCGTTCTATTGATAATTGCCATCCCTGCAAATACCAATTCCCTCTGCTGGAAACACAAGTCGACTTGATCACAGCACTTCATGATAGTCTTAGGGATAACAAGACCAGCTTGTCAGCATTTCACACTATATGGTATTTCCTCATTGGCGAGCCCTTTGCTTTCACTGAGGTGGACAAGTGGAAATGTCCTGTACTTTGCTGGCTTGCCTTGGCAAGTGTTCGTGAAGATGGTCGCTTTATAGATGCCAATGAATACACACCTCTTCTGGCCGAATGGGAATACCTAATGCGAATCACCCATCTAACACAAGCCTATCGCAACTTTGAAGCTGAATGTCAAACAACTGATATTCGTCCTAACTTTATCACGTATGTATATATAAGTTTCAATCTGATGATCATACTGATTCTTGAAACTCCTTAGTATATGCTCAGTCCAATTCTCCCAGTTCCTTAAGGAAGGTGTCAACTCTCCCTATAATTCAGTTCGCGAACATCAGCATTTTGCATCTTCCATTGCCAAAAACACAGCAGCAGCTCCTCGTATTACATGGTCATCCGACATGACTGAACTGGCATGTGATGGTAATAACCTTCAACTCTCACGCCTTCGCTTTGGCTTAAATGCCATCGCCCTTGACATTGAAACGCGTATCAACAAACTCATGAATGGCCATACCATTCCAATCAATGTTTCAGACAGTCTAACTGAGAACATGAGCAATCGTGATCTAGGCTATGGATGGATGGAGTTGCCCAACTTGCTTGCCAAATCTTTTCCTTTGCTAGAAATCCTTCAAGATCATCCTCACTTCAAGATATGTGAGGTAGAACATAATGGCAAGCTGCATTGGATCCATCGTGGAATCATGGCTGTTTTATCCGAATTCACCATTATCAATGAAGAGTTGGCCATCTTGTGTCATATGCTTCCAGCACCTCCTCCTCGCGGTACTGAATTGGTTGAAACTCGTATTCGCAATGGTCAAATTCCTCGTAACCTCTACAAGGATCGTGGCACATGGTTGGTTCACATTCATGTCAAAACCACCAATATCACTGGCAACCTTTCATTTGTACCGACACTTTGTCCTCCTCGCCTTGCCAAGTTATTGGATTGGTATATCTTAATTGCTCGACCACTGGAAACCTTACTTGCTGCTCAGGTTTATGACTCAGAATCCACACCACTCTATCATGAATTCCTGTTCTGTCAGCATGGTCATGTTCTCACCTCTCGTCAGTTTTCTGTTCTAATGGAACAGTATACTGCTCGCTTTATGGGTATTTCGCTTAATCTACGCACTTGGCGACATATGGCTATTTCCATACAACGGGAATACATTGGTGAACAAGACACCATTGTCAACAATCTTGGAGATCTTCTTGCCAATCATAGCACTAGTCAAGCACGCCGCACCTATGCTCGTGAAGTAGGGTCTTTGCCTTTCCTTACCACAGATGCCATGCTGGAAAGTCGTGACATATGTGACTCCTGGCATGATGTACTTGGATGGGGATCCAATTTGCCTCCAATTCCTCATCGTCTTCTTCATCGATTAAGGACATCCTCCACCACTATGGATCCAACAACCTTTTGTACTAGTGATTTCAAGGAAGAAATTAAAGGCATGGTTAATGGAGCAGTTACAATTGGGATGGGGAACCTAAAGCATCAGCTTGAAGACATGTTAGCAAATGCCTTTGCTAAAGGATTTGCTAGTCATGTCAGTGGATCAATTGGTGCTACCAGTATGTGTTATTTCTTTCTTATTATACTTTATTACTGATATAGTTTATGATTCAAGGTAACAATGGCCTTTCCATGCCTTCCCCTATCAATAACAACAATCACATATTGGATCATCAATTGCAGACTCATGCCCCACAAGCTATCCAGCCTCAACATCCTGCACAACTCATTCATGTTTCCAATGCCATTTCCACCATTCTATCTCCACCACCAGCAAATCTTTCTCAGGCATCCCTTGAATACGCCACTCAAGTTCAGCCAGCAATGGCCACCACAATCACCCATACCCTTGCCAGTAACACTCCTAACTACTTTCTTGACGATAAACTCTTCTATACCCATCTTGGAGAACATCTCAAGCTTGCTACTCCTCAACCAGACCAGATGTTACGTCTTCTCAAGTGGGCTCGTCAGGATTCAAAGGCTATATTCAAGTCAGAGGCACAAATGCAAATGCTTTTCTACATCATCAAGCGGGACTGTAACCTAATGGTTGTTTTGCCCACTGGTGGTGGTAAAAGTCTAGCCTGGGAAGTGCCTGGCAAGATGGCAGAGCCAAAGCTTATCACCATCATCATGATTCCCTTTCTACCATTGATTGATGATCAACTTCGACGTAGTGCTGCATCCAGAATTGTGGCAGCCAAGTGGAATTCAGCTGCTCCACCCACAAATCCCAAACTACGCTTGCTTTTTGCCTCATATGAATCACTGGCAACCAGTACCTTTATTGGGTATGTCTGTTATAATTTGGACTCAGATTTAACTTAACAATCAAATAGTTGGATCAAACTACATCAAGAGAACATTGCTCGGCTCATCTTTGATGAAAGTCATGAACCTTTGGTCTCTGGCAACTATCGACCCAAGATGCAAATGCTTACAGTGGTTCAAGAGTTCACATTTCCCAAGGTTTATCTTACTGCAACCATGCCACCAGACACTCTTCGTCCCTTTTGTCAGCTAATGGGTGCAGATCCACGCTTTCTGCATCTTATTCGTGCTGCCACCAATCGGCCTGAACTACGCTATCATGTGGTCCTTTCAGAATATCAAGAAAAGGGGGAAACCATGGCCATGG